TGGTTTGATAAAATGCTCCAGCACGGCTGCTTGGTATGTGTGCCCTCTCACACATCCACGGACTTGCCCACTTCCCCAGTCCCTCCCTTTCCCCACCTTTGTCTACCTTCAGGACTTCCTGGGCAGCCACTCCCCCTAGAACGGCTGCCATGGGGCTTAAGCTGCCAGCACTACTCAGGGCAATTGTCCGAATTAAAGCCTCATCCAGCGATTCTTCTTTTGTCCCTTTTAGTGGATCTAGGTCCCGGGCCAGACGCACCACGGTCTCTGCATCAACCTGTGGAATGGCACTCAGGCATAGCATATGCCTCTAGCCCCAGTCCGAATTCTAACCTTCCACTCAAAGCCTTCAGGTACTCATCTACCCTATTCCACGGAAGCAGCAGAATCCTAAGTGGGAAAGCCTGGCATCATTGCTGGGCTGGGAGGCACTAAAAAGGATGTTCAGTACCAGCTAGAGACATTGAAGGCATCACCAACCTGAGCAGTTTTCCAACCTGTCTCTGCAGGCTTGAGGATGGAGCAAGCAGGGTCTACAGGTTATAGGCCTAGTACATCTATGGACATAACCTCTAGTGTAAGATGGTGGTACTCATGCCCTGTTTTTGAGTACAGAATCTGCCTCTAGGGTTCAAACTTGGAGCTGTAAATAGTCACTGAGGTGAGGTTCTGAAAGGTGAGATCCAGGAAGATAGGCTATGTATTGTGCGATGTGGTGCCACTCACAGGATCCCAGGGCTTGGGCAGCCGGCCATGAAGCTTCTGGAACTCATGCAGTGCATGAAAGGCCTGATGCAGGCAGTGAGCACGTTGGACTTCCTGAGTGTTCTGGACCACCACACGGGGCTGAAGCAGAGCTTTGTCCAAGGATTTCTGTAGGGTTGGGGTTGCGTGGCTTAGGACGAGGTCTGGAATGCTGTGCACCCATTGATGGAACCAGGTGCTCCCACCTCAGCGGCACTTGCACTTACATGCCTCACAGTCTTGGATCTCTTGACTTCAGTGACAACCCCACCACGCAAGTAAGGGGAGAAACCTGTTGTGTCTCCAATCTCCAAGGACCCGTCTTCTGGAAGAGATCCAGCCGAGTAAGTTATGACTCCTAAATATAAGTAGTTTCTACATAGCGTTGAGCCAGGGGTTGGATGGAGTAGGGTTGGCTTACTCTGCACACGGACAGGCTGGGGAGAACGCCCGTTGAGTTCAACCATGCCTTCAATGCCTGAGAAAACCACCAAGTCCCCGTCATAGAAGAACTGTCTTTTGGTGTCTTGTCTCAGAGTGACAATGCCGGGCAACCCCTAGGTGAGAGATAGTTTGATTTCAGAGTGCCTATACCTGCCTTCCACAGGCCCTGGCACCTTTCTCTGAATATCAGGTGAATCTCTACACTCAGCACCCACCTGGGAGATATCCTGGATGGCAGCTGTCATGGGTTCTACCTCTGTAGGGTCTTCAACGATGAAGTCCTCACCAAAGTCACAGAACAACCGCCTAGAGTGGTTGGCAGGAGTCACTGAGGAAGCTCATCAGTTGTGAGTGATGGTAGGGACACTGGGACAGGCCCAAGGGGAGGGAGTTCTGGGAAAGACGTGGAAATTAAGATTTGGGCACGTCGAGTGTACTAGAACAGGTCTGGACACTGAGGCTGAGAAACAAGGGTGGAATGGTAGTCCAGAATTAAGAAGACCCTTCGCTAGGCTTGAGGCAGGGTGATAGGGGCAAGCTTCGAGTGGGGAAAACATTGGGGCCAATTGTTGGCAGTGATGTAGTGGGTTATACAGGTAGACTCCTCACCCCACAAGGCCCCGGGTTTCAGCCACCAGAAAGCAGATTTTATTCTCGTGGCAGAAGGTTCCCACCCTCAGCTGTTCTTCTAGTTTGGAGTTGGTCAGCACCACGACCTATATGGATACCAGAAGCACTTGCCACCTTCTGTGCTGCTGAGGGCAGGACGGAGGTACTAGGCTGGCATGCAAACTGGGGCTGGGGTAAGTACCTGAAAAGCCTGCAGCAGGTCGTTAGTGATGTCACCTGTATGGATGGAGATCTGGACAGCTTCATTGAGCTGAGACAATTGTGCTTGAGAGGCCTCAGCCCTGCTCCTTCCCAAGCTCTCTTCTGAGAGGAAAAACTAAGGACAGAACAGTGTAGCTTTAATCAAAGAGACCCCCCTTTGGCCCTGCTCTGAAAGAGAGCATAGAGACCCCAAGAACTCACCTGAGCAGCCAGGTCAGCCCAGCAGGTGGACTGGGGATCGTGCAGGGTGAGGCTGCCTATACCCATAAGGACCAGGTTCTTGGCCACCTCAGCTCCTAGGCCCTGCAGGCCAGATAGCAAGACATTGGCTTCCCGAATCCTCCGCATAGCAGGCAGGCCCAGTACATACCTGTGGTTAAGAAGTAGGAGGGCAGGCAGTTGAGAGACCATAGGTTTGGAGGCCACCCGACTTTGTATCCCACTTGGAGACTCACAGCTGCCTCGAGTATAGCTCCCCATCCATCCTCAGTCGTGGGCTGGATAAGGAGGCGGTAATGTTCACAGCTGCTCTGGGGCGGGGGGGGGGGGGGGGGAGGGGGGGGGGGGGGGGGGGGAGGGAAATGGGGGGGGGGGGGGGGGGGGGGGGGGGGGATAAGGGGAGGTGGCACAGCAGGGCTTGTAACTGATGCAAACAGGAACCTAAGCGCTGGTTGCTGCTTCTTTCAGTTCCCTCCCTGGCTCCTCTGTAACTTCAGGAAAACAGAAGTGAAACTAGACTCTGAATTGGTTCCTAGCTCTCAAACCGGGACTGATGCCAGCCCTCTACAGGCCGATTGGGGTTTATCACCTGAACAAGACCCAGTGTTACAAGAGGGCAGTGGCTCTGAGAGTCAGATCCAAGAGTGGGGAGCATGGGGCAGTTACAAAACGAGGACATATATCCTTATATTGTTTTCAAACTTTTGAAATAATTATAGACTCACAGTAAGTTGTGAAAATAACAGAGTTGCTGTGTGCTGGTCGTGTTTTTCTATCAGCATGTATTGACTACACAAAGTATTGGGCTTCATTTTTCTTTCTCTCTTTCCTTTCTTTTTTGGTTTTTCGAGACAAGGTTTCTCTCTGTAGCCTTGGTTGTACTGGAACTCAGAGATCGCCTGCTTCTGCCTCCCTGAGTGCTGGGATTAAAGGTGTGCCCCACCACTGCCCAACTCATTATGGCATATTTTTTTAAAAAAATTATTATTTCATGTATATTGGTGTTATGCCTGCATGTGTCTGTGTGAGGGTGTCAGATCTTGGAGTCACAGACAGTTGTGAGCTGCCATGTGGGTGCTCTTATCTACTGAGCCATCTCTACGGGTCCCCTACGGCACTCTCGTACAAGGTATAATGTATTTGATCATATTCATCCCCTTAGCTTCTCTAGCCTGCCCCACTTTTGCTGATCCCTCCTCTCGCACGAGTTCCCCTTCAACATTCGCATCTTGTTTCTGTGACTTGCTGAGTTCCATAGGGTTGCTTACAGGAGAGTGGGTGAGAGGGTACTTAAAGAAGCCACCTCCCACCCTGGAAGGGCGGGGCCTTATGAGTCCTTGCTTCCTCCGTAACAGAATGCTCATGCTCACAGGCCCAAATATTGTGCAGATCTTTTTTTTTAAATAATTTATATTTTATGTTCACTGATGTTTTGCTTGCATTCACATCTGTGTGCAGGCATTTGATTCCCTGGAGCTGGAGTCACAGACAGTTGTGAGCTGCCATGTGGGAGCTGGGGATCGAACCTACGTCCTCTGGCAGAGCAGCCTATGCTCTTAACCACTGAGCCATCTCTCCAGTCCCATTGTGCAAATCTTGGACAGGTCACAGCTATTATGAGTTCAAGAGTACCGCAGTCATAGCATGGCCGGAAGACAGTGTTTTGCAGACCCCATCCTCCAGTTCTGACATTATTGCATCCTGTTTTCTATGAGCCTTCTATGCTTCCTGAGCCTTGAGTGGGGCCGGAATGGATGTCTTTTAGGGCTGAGCACTCAACACTTATTGTCCATACTTTGACGAGTTATGAGACTCTGCAGTTACCACTGCCCACTTCAAAAAGAAGCTTCTCTGTGGCTGGAGAGATGGCTCAGCCAGTTAAGAGCACTGGCTGTTCTCCCAAAGGTCCTGGATCAATTCCCAGCAACCATATGGTGTCTCACAGCCATTTATAGTGGGATCTGATGCCCTCTTCTGGCATGCAGGCATAATGCAGATAGAGCACTCATACATAAAACGAATAAATCTTTTTTATTTTTATTTTTTTAAGACAACAGGGTTTCTCTGTGAGCCCTGACTGCCCTGTAACTCACTCTGTAGACCAGGCTAGCCTTGAACTCATAGAGATCCACCTGCCTCTGCTTCCTGAGTGCTAGAATTAAAGGCATATAATGTCAAGCGGCCAACACCACCGGCTTTCTAAAACCCTTTTTATCATCCCAGACAGAAACTGTCAGCAGTAAGCAGTAACTCTGGTTCCCACTCCTAGCCACTATTATATTTGTCTCTGTAAGTTTACCTATTCTAGACAATTCCTGTAAGCAGAACCAGAGTAGCTGTCTATCTCACTTTTTCACTTACATATCTTGAGTTCTTAACCAATAGCCTTACTAGATTCCCACCACTGGGTGGCTGGTGTTATTGCCCCCACTGTATAGATAACATCGAGAGAGGATAATTGACCTAAGACCACTCAGCATGTGCTAGCAGCCAGCCTTTATGTTTTCAGCCAGATGGTGCAATTCCCCTTCATAGCCCTCTTTGGCTCACGTCAGCCACAGATGGGCTCAACATTTATAACTGTCTATAACATCTATAAGTTTAACATCTATAACTGTCTATAAGTTGTAACATCTGTAACATCATCTAAAACTGTCTATAACATCTGTAACATCCATAAGTTACTGTCCTGTCGCTGGCATAAAACACTGACAAAAGCAACTTAGGGGAGAAAGTTTTTATTTTAGCTCAGTTTCAGGTTACAATCATCGTTGCAGGGAAGCCAAGCCGGAAGGTGGAGCAGCTGGTTAAGAGCAAAGAGGGTGCTAGTGTGGGAAGTCCTTCTGTCTATGTGTTGTTTTCATTAGCAGAACAGAGCTAGGCAAGAAAACTAAACTGGATGCTGGGAGGAAGAAGACGGAGTCAAGGAGAGGCCATGTAGCCAGACACCAGAGGAGAAGACGCTCACCACCAGCTGGAACCTTGCCAGTAGGCCACAAGCCTTATGGTAAAATATAAAATAATAGAAATGGGTTGATTTCAGATGTAAGAGCTAGCCAGAAATATGCATAAGCTAATAGGCCAAACAGTGATTTAATTAGTAGTTTCTGTGTGGTTATTTCGAGTCTGGGCGACCGGGAACAAACGAGCAGCCTCCCCCAATGGTGCATTCATTCTGTGCTCAGCTCACTTTCTCTGCTCTCAACAGTCCAGGATCCTCTGCTTAGGTGATGGTTCCACCCACCACAGGCTGACCTTCTCACCTCAGTTAACATGACCTCACAGAGAGTCCCTTCCCAAGTGACTCTAGACTGTGTTGACAATCACAGCTAGGCATCATACAACCAAGGCTGCCTATCATCTCCATCCCCATAGAGCTTCAAATGGCTGGATGCCTTCACAGGAAGCGGGCAACGGGCTAGGGAAACACCTAATAATGTTTAGAAAGAGAAAGTTTAGGAAGTCTTACCCAGGTGATGGCCAGTAAAGGAAATTCTCCAGGAGAAAGTGTCCTGAAGCTAAGACCTAAAAGCTAACTAGCAGCTTGGTCGCTGGTTGTCTGATGTGCTTGCTGAGTTCCCTGAATGGATGTGAACTTACTTGGTTCACCCACTCTAGACTACAGAGACACCATCCTTGCTAGTCTTCCTGCACCCTGGGAAGAAAACTGCCAGGTCTGAGTCTTAGTGGCACTCCCGCCTTAGAAACTCACACTGATTTTCTGAAGTCTTGGTACAGATTATACACCCAGAGCCAGGAAGAAAAGATGCCTTTTTATTTCCCATGGAAACCTTCCCCCATTATTTCCCTAACATCCCCTAATTCACACAGCGAGCTGGGGGCAGACAGAAGCTCAGGCTAGCCTGCTCAGGAATCCTCCAGCACTTTCATCCATACAGAGCCAAATGTGACCCTGGTCTATAAAAACAGGAGTCCAGCCATATCTGGTTGTAGCCATACACAAAAACCTGCAAAAAGAAGCAGCCCCTGCTGACTGGAACTGTAACTCCCAGAGGTAAAATCCAGTGCGTGCAGGGCAAAGCGAACACAGGAAATGCAGATTTTGCGCTCTCTCTTGCACTGTCCAGGAAGAGGAGCCATCTCCCCAAACACTCCTGGGTTGGCAAAGGTCTTGGCCCACTAATTGGAGACATGACTCTGGTCACTGCTCACTGCCACAGGAAGGTATCCAGCTTGGACTGGGAGGAAGAATTCCCAGTCTTTATTCTCACTTTCTGTTTACTCCTGGCCTTGTGCTTAACCGGCATTGGTCGGATGATGGCTGTGTCTGTCTGGAGCCAATGTCAAGGAAGAAGCTTGGAGGGGGACTGGAATGCAGGGCAGGAAAAACAGATACACTGAGCAAGGCGCAGCTCTGCCATCTTAGGCTGCAGGCATTGGCAGTGGGAACCCTGGGGACACAGGTCAGGGCACAGTGTATGTCCCTTAGCTCAGTTCAGGCCACGGCCAAAAAAAGGATACAGGTTGGATGAATTTTGTTCGTCCTCCAAGTCCATCAAAGCCTATTCTTACCTAGGGCAGAAGGAAGACATAAGTGATCAGGAAAATGGGTGAGGGAGCTGACTGCCTTGCTCCACACAGGAGACCAGGTACCTGTGACACTCACCACATCTGTGCTGCAACGGGAAGCTGCTGTGGTCCTGTTGGTCTGTCTCTGACCCAGGACAGCATTCCGGATGAAGAGAGGGAAGGCGCCAGCCAGTTCCTCGTCTGGCTCTCCTACACAGCGCTGGCCACCCAGTGAGAGCTGGGGCTCCTATTGGGTAATGCCAGAGTCAGACTTGTTGAGCTAGACAGCAGCAAAGGACATGGGGTAGTGATAGTAACAGAGATCTGGTTATTAGGATATTTGGCCAGGTGGTGGTGGTGGCACATACCTTTAATCCCAGCACTCAGGAGGCAGAGGCAGGCAGATCTCTAAGTTCAAGACCTGCCTGGCCAACAGAGTGAGTTCCAGGACAGCCAGAGCTATACAGAGAAACCCTATCTCAAAAAACCCAAACCCAAAATCAAAAAAACAAAAACAAGCCAAATAAACAAAATAACAGATCAGGATATCTGATGCCTCAGACAAGAAGCAGAGAATAATGAATTAGGATTACAAGGATGGCTCTGATGAGTATTAGTCCTGAGCAAGGGGAGAGAACCTGAACATAGTTTGGACCCTCAGAAATAGAGTTTCTCTTTTTCTTTGTTTTTCTTTTCTTTTTTTTATTTGTTTTATATTGTTTGAGATGGTCTCACTACAGCCCAGGATGCCTCAGAACTCACTATACAGTCCAGGCAGGCCTCAAACTCAAGGTGATTCCTGAATGCTGGATTACAGGCATGAACTACCATGCCCAGTTCAGAAGTAAGGTTTTCATGGCAGTCTGGCAAGAGCTGGATGGGACTGCATGTACGTTTTCAAGGAAGCCCGGCCTTACCTGCCTGGAGACTTTAGGTATCTTCTTGAGGACATCCTGCACCGGGGAGCTATGAGAGTGAGAGGAAGGCAAGAGACAAGTAAGCAAGAAGAGGGCCACTGTGTGGCATGGCTGCCATCATGAATGCTTTGGGCAAGGTACCTCAGTGGTTTCTAACCCGAGTGCCAATCTATGAAGAGCTGAAAAGACCATGCCCCGTCTGTGGTTTCATTTCAACCTTCTCCAAGTTCTAGTCTCTACCCAGTGCTAGGAGCCAGCCAACTTACCATGCACAGGAGGACGTGCATTCGCACCCTTTTTGTTTTGTTTTGTTTTGTTTTGTTTTTAAAGATTTATTTATTTATTATGTATACAGTATTCTCAGTGCTCTGCCTGCAGGGCAGAAGAGGGCACCAGACCTCAATGGGGATGGTTGTGAACCACCATGTGGTTGCTGGGAATTGAACTCAGGACCTCTGGAAGAGCAACCAGTGCTCTTAACCTCTGAGCCATCTCTCCAGCCCCCTTTTTGTTTTTTTTTTTTTTTTTTTAAAGACAGGACTTCTCTGTAGCTTTGAGGCCTGTCCTGGAGCTCACTCTGTAGACCAGGCTGGCTTCAAACTCACAGAGATATGCTTGCCTCTGTTTCCCAAGTGCTGGAATTAAAGGCGCACATTCACACCCTCAAAGACAGAAGCTATCAAATGAGCTCAGGCCTCGTCCTGTCTGTTGGGGATTGGAGGCACCAACTCTAGAAAACCCACAGTAGTCAGCCTCCCAGTGCAACTGAGCAAGGCAGCCTGCAGAGCGCTCCCAGAGCCCCTATAGAACCTTCACAGGAAGAGCTTGTGGCAGAAGAGAACACGAGCCAGGTTGTGGCTTTCTATTCTTAGTGCCAGAGCCAGACACCATTTCCATTCCATTTCTGGGACCTTAGCAGCTAGATACTCCCTCCTGGTATTTTCCCAGCTGAGAGAGGATGGTGTCCTAAGGTTAGCCTGGTGGCTTCTCAAGCCATAAGCAAAGTAGGAAGAGAGCCTGCTGACTCTGGCTTCCTCTGCTTGTTTCTCTAACCTGTAGGCAGCCCGCATGACGGCCATAAGAAGATTCCCCATGGTTACAAGTCTGGCTCTGGTGAGGCTAAGCCAAGTTAGGGGTGTTCTATGTTCCCTCACTCCTATGTGTCTGCAATCATTGTTTCTTTTCTCTTGATTCCTCCCTCTTTCCTTCTTTGCAAAACTGGGATTGAATCCAGGGCCTTTTATATGGTAGGCAAGCACGACCACTGAGCTATATCCCCAACCTGTCCTTCACTTTTGACAGCTGAGGAGGAAGCAATACAAAGAAGCCAGAGTAAGGAGCTGAGCCAGGAAAGCCCTCGGGTGCAGTCTGCACGGCTCAGGCTTCTCATCGATATCATGTCTGTTCCTCTGCTACACGGGTGCTAAGATCGATACCATGTCTGTTCCTCTGCTACACGGGCGCTAAGCCCAGCTGGCTTGCCCTCTCATTCTCTTTCTCAGCATTGCCTAATGTAAAAATTTCTTTCTCTTATATTCAAAGTTTCATATTAGATTTCCTTAGGACTGGAGAGATGGCTCACAGATAAAAACTGCTTGCCACCACCTGTCAACCCGACTTTGGTTCTTAGTCCCCTCATAGTGCAAGGAGAAAAACAACTCCCACAAATTGTCCTTTGATCTCCATATGCATCCCCCCCCCAAACACAAAATAAATAAATGTAATTTTAAAAAATGTAAAAAGAATTCCCTTACTGGAGTAGCACAGACTCATGTATATGACAGTCGTCTTCACAGTGGCACACAGGTGTGCCTGGCCAAGGAGATGGCTTGCCCCTCCTAGCTCCCCTGCACATCCATAGCAAGTTCCACCTGTCTCCTTACAGCTCCTTATGTCTGCCAACATGGGATATTTCCCTGGATGGTAGTGTCATGGGGATCTATGGTTTGACATGGTCCTGAATTAAGCATGAACCTCAGCCGGGTGGTGGTAGCACACGCCTTTAATCCCAGCACTTGAGAGGCAGAGGCAGGAGGATCTCTGTAAGTTTACAGCCAGTCTGGTCTACAGAGCAAGTTCCAGGACAGCCAAGGCTACACTGAGAAACCCTGTCTCAAAAACAAACAGCCGGGGGTGGTGGCACACGCCTTTAATCCCAGCACTCAGGAGGCAGAGGCCGGCGGATCTCTGTGAGTTCGAGGCCATCCTGGTTTACAAGAGCTAGTGCCAGGACAGGTTCCAAAGCTACAGAGAAACCCTGTCTCAAAAAAAAAAAAAAAAAAAAAAAAAAAGCATGAACACTAGGAAAAATTCAGAGTCCCATGCTCAGGACTCCAGTGGGCAAGCATTCAAAGTATTGGGATACCTGCCCCACCACCAGTCCAGAGATGCCCTGCTGGGACTCGAGAATTCTAAGTCCCATGCCAACATCGTCTTGAGGATGACTAGAATGAATGAAACAAGCAGAAGGACTGGACACAGTAAGCGCTCAGGACAAGGAGGAAGAGGAAGCTCAAACCAAAGCTGCATTCTACTGAGCAGCCTCACTGACTACTCAGGGCTCTCAGGGCAGGACCTACAGATGGCTTAGCTCTGCCAGGGACCAACACTCACCAGGCCCTCTCCAGGCAGGGTTTCTTGGAGTGGTGCTGGGAGCTGGAGGTCTGGCTTGGAGGGGTATCCACATCGAAGGTAGCATTGAAGTCAATCTCATCACCAAAGGATGGTCGGTGGAGCTTCGGGTTCAGCATCTCCATAGGGGCTGGGCTAAAGGTAGAGATGATCTTGTTACTTGGAACTTCGATGACAACTCAGAGAGATCACAACTCCTCAAGTATCAAAGACAACTCAACTTGGCCCAGTGAGATGGCTCAGCTGGTAAAGGCTATTGTTTCCCAGCCCGAAGCCCTGAGTTCAATCCTCAGACCTACATGGTGGAAGAAGAAAAATGAATCCCTCCAGTTGTCTTCTGATACCACTTGCACGCTACGGTACACACACACCTAAACATATCCATGCACACACATGCACACATGCACGCACACATACAAACAACAACAGCAAAACATTAAAAAGAAGAAACAGAAGAGGAGAGACAGCTCAGCTCCAAGGGTTCCTAAAGCCCACCCCTGACTCAGTGTCACCTCAGAGAGAGACCTAATCTCTACAGAATAAACCAATTGGCTTCAGCCTTTGCAGTCATGTGACCATTGGTGGGTAAGGGCCAAGCCTGATGACCTGAGTTTGATCCCCAGGAGCCACATGGTGGAAGAACTGACTCCCACAAGTTACCTTCTGACCGCTCCATGTATGCCATGCAAAACATGCACACACACTTACATATAATAAAAAAATTTAACCGAATGAAAGAAAGGGTTGTTTCCCTTTGATTGACATACTCCTTTCTCAGAATTCAGTGTAAGAAGCCATTTAGATGCTGGGTGGTGGTGGCACATGCCTTTAATCCCAGCATTCAAGAAGCAGAAGCAGATGGATCTCTGTGAGTTCAAGGCCAGCATGGTCTACAAAGCAAGTTCCAGGACAGCCAGAGCTGTTACTCAGAGAAACCCTGCCCCCACTAACTACAGATGTGAGGATGTTGCCACTTATCACAGCAAACAGTATGCTAGTGGTCTGATACTTCAGGAGTCGACAATGACGAAGACACTAGATGGTGTTCTCAAGAGTAACTTTACTAACATGGAAAAATACCCCTATGGGCAACTTAAAAAGCAATATAAAAGCTGAATGTGATACCACACACCTATGATCCCAGTAAAGAAGATCATGAGTTCAAAGCCTGCCTGAGATGCATAAGTTTGAGGCTAGCAAGACTAAGCTATATATTGAGACTGCCTAAAAGAGAAAAAAAAATATAAAAATAAACGCACGTACAAGCCAGGCATTATGGCACACACCTCTAATTCCAGTCCTTAGGGGCCAGAGGCATGCGGATCTCTGTGGGTTTGAGGCCAGCCGGGTCAACATAGTGAATTCCAGGATAGTCAGGACTACACAGAGTCCCTGTCTCAAAAAACAAAACAAAACAATATATATGTCTGTACAATTACATGATTTGGGATACCCCATCCTCCATATACCTCCTGCAGAAAAAAGACTTGAAGGAAACACACCATATGTCCAACTCCCTCTGCAATTAAGCTCATAGTTTTCAAATTCTCCACTTTTCTACTTTTGTAATGAGAGCATGGTCCTCACTCTTTTTTTTTTTTTATGTATATAATATTCTGTCTGTGTGTATGCCAGTGGACCAGAAGAGGGCACCAGACCCCATTACAGATGGTTGTGAGCCACCATGTGGTTGCTGGGAATTGAACTCAGGACCTTTGGAAGAGCAGGCAGTGCTCTTAACCTCTGAGCCATCTCTCCAGCCCCTGGTCCTCACTCTTTTAGAAAACTGCAGCCAAGTAAAATTTTCTAGCCTTGCCAGACAACCCTGGCAGTACCTTCCAGCTTCCAAGGTCTGGGGAGAACTGTGAGGAATGGCAGGGACAGATCAAAGGACATTTTCCCCAGGGACTTCCCTTGGTTGCTACACGTCAGCCCTGTGCGTGCCGAGGTGTGCAGACCAGAGGAAAGGGAGCTACCTACAAATCTGGCTGGATAAGCATTCTGGGAAGCTTCTTCCTCCGTTCATCAGCACCATTCTGTAATTGCTTACCAACTCCAGCAAGTTTAGGCTAAGGAAGGAAAAGCAAACTGGAGAGACAGGCCTAGCCTGGCACTACCATCCCCCGAGTCTTACCAGTGGTACCCATGGTACATGCTCAACCTTGGCTCAAGTCAAGCTGGTCTTTTCATGTACTATCTACCACACTAAACCCAAGACTCAGGAGGCTCACACTGTCTCTCTCATTCCAACACGAAGCTCATAAGGACATATTTTCTTGTTCTCTCAGACTGTTCCAATCTTTTCTGGTATCTTCTTCCTTTGCAAATAGAAGTCTGGTTCCCTTTCTTTCATCCCTAACTCGTATCTCTCCAACACATGGAGGGAGAGCCTAGTCTCTGTGGAGAGCCTAGGACTCCATTGCTATAGTGAAGGCCTGGCTTGAGGCACTCTGAGTGATTCTATTACCTCTGAGACAATCACCTATGGCCAACTTACACAGCTTCATGACAGAGGCCTCGGGAAATGAGGCAAGAGATTCAAAGCCCTCTTGTCTAAGCCAGGGCCAAAGCCCTAGGCAGATGTTACTGTGTGGCACAGAGGCTGTCAACACCTCTTTCCTGAACTCATACCTCCTATCAGTCCTGCAAATGAAGGTCCCACTAGCCCAGAATTTAGAAGCCCTTAGAGCCCATGAGCTCTATGGCCTCCTTTCCTCAGATGGGCACCCCGGCGGGCTAAGGACTGTGCTGCAGCCTTGCTAAACTCCTGAGGGAAAAAAAGAGCAAGGTCCCTTGGAGCTGCCCCTGCCTTCCTTCAGGTTCTCCTCAGACCTAACAAGGCCAGGTCTGGCAAGGTTAAAGACAGGGCTACCTCCTGAGGCTGCCCTAAAATGACAAGCAGGGCCGGGAACATGGTTCAGTTGGCATAGTGCCAGCCTAGCATGTATGAGGCCCTGGGCTCAATCCCAGTCTACAGAAATCAGATGTGGTAGTGCAAGCCTATATCCCTAGCACTTGGGATGTAGAGCCAAGAAGATAAGGAGTTCAAGGTCATACTCAGCTACATAGTGCATTGGAGACCAGCCTGGTCTATATGAGACTCTGTTTCAAAAATATAAAATAATGGGGGCTGGAGAGATGGCCCAGAGGTTAAGAGCACTGACTGCTCTTCCAGAGGTCCTGAGTTCAATTCCCAGCATCCACATGGCAGTTCACAATCTGAAGCCCTCTTCTGGTGTACAGACACACATGCAAAGCACCTATATAAATAATAAGTAAATCTTTAAAACATGATGACAGAAGCAAAGGGTAACCCCACCATGACAAATGAAACGGGCATAATCAATAACACCCAGAGTCTTCCACAAAATCCTGAGAGAGAGAGCATGGCTAGTCCCCTATGTGAGCCTGACGAAGGAGCCAGACTTCACAGGTGGAGGCTACAAGGCATTAGGCAGGTCTGAAAACTGAGGCACTGTTCAAGAAATCATTAGCAGAGGATGAGATGAAAATAAGAGATATGGACCAGGCCCTCAGAGCTATCTTCCAGAAACATTTTCAACAGTTCCTACTGCTCCTAGGATAAAATCTCCACCTGCAAGGCTGACTTGTGAAGGCTCGCAGTGATTTGGCACACCTGCTACCCACCTCTCTCCTCCAAACCCACCTTAGCAATGCTTCAGGGACTTTGAACTCTCCACCTTCTCTGCCTGGATTTCTCCTCCTTCAGATTTAAATGGTTGTTTCATGAATGTGTCTGTACATTTCATACAGACTAGGAAAGTTTAAAATTCTTCCCAAGCTGGAGTGATGGCTCAGCAGTTAAGAGCACTGACTGCTTCTTCCTAGAAGTCCTGAGTTCAATTCTCAGCACCCACATAGTGACTCACAACCATCTGTAATGAGATCTGGTGCTCTCTTCTGGCCTGCAGGGACACATGCAGGCAGAACACTGTATATGTAATAAATAAATCTTTAAAAAAAAGATTCTTCCCAGCAACAAGTCAGTTCTTAAGGGAGAGAGACAAAGGCACTTGTAGTTCTAAGAGTTACGCCATCAGAGCATAAAGAAACCGGAAAGGCTGCTCCCAAGGAGCCAAGAGCTCTTAGATCTTAGGGCCCAAGAAGAGAGAACCTGGAATTCAGGATAAACTAGTTATAGCCAAGTTCTAAGGGCTAATGCTAAATGCAACAGTATTATTACCCAAGTTTTCATACCTAGAAAAATATGGTGAAAAAGGGGAGTTCAATCATCCTGGATACAACTTGATGAGTAGCCCAGCCTGGCTTTGGACACACAGGTTTGGCTAATCATCTAACCCCCCAGCTAATTATCCTACTAAAACAAGGCTCAAGAGGTTGGAGAGGAGCCGGGCAGTGGTGGCACACGACTTAATCCCAGCACTCGGGAGGCAGAGACAGGTGAATCTCTGTGAGTTCGAGGACAGCCTAGTCTGCAGAGCAAGTTCCAGGACAGTCTGTGAAGCCACAGAGAGAAACCCTGTCTCAAAAAATAATTTAAATTAAAAAAAAAAAAAAGGAGAGAGAATGGGGAGCTGGCATGCAGCAGGCACACCTATTATAGGAATATAGGGCACAGAGAAACCTGGGTAGTAAAAGCAAAGTCCCTAGGAACTAGAGGTGGCCCATGTGCTTGTGTTTTTCTCACAACTGTGTGGGAGGACCTGAGGTTCACGGACTAGAAGCTAGAGGGAGCACCATCAGGAGACTGTGGATAGTCTAACGAAAGATTTTGTATCCCCAGTCTTGAGGCAGCTTGGGCTCTAAAGTTTTTTTCTACAGTGGATGGTTTCTGAGACTGTCATTCCCCCAAGGGCGCATACTATACTTGCTTAAGCTCCTGACAAGACCCTCATGTTACATGGGACCTCAGAGAAGGAATGGCCAATGCTGGATGAGGTGGGAGGAAGGTTCAGGAACAGTGCATACTGGGTTGTCAACCCGATAGTGGACAATAGCAGATCAGGCATCTATCATATTTCCACAGCTCTCAGTCCAACCTAAACTGGAACAGGCAGGTAAGTTTGGCTCCAGAGAGATGCTGAGGACAATAATAGCTAATGAGGAGGCTCAAAGGATAAGGGCACTTGCTGCACAAGTCTGGCACTTGAGTTAGATCCCTCAACCCATGGAAAGGTGGAAGGAGAGAACTGACTCCACAGAGTTGTGCTCTGACCTCCACATCCAGTGTGACATGCACGACCACATGTACATACATACTGCAAAGTGGTCCAAGAAGACATTCGGTGTAGGCCTGTGACTTCACATGCGCGCACACACACACACACACACACACACACACACACACACACACACGCAGGCAAGCACACACGTGCTCTCTCTCTCCCAAGACCCTGGGGCTTCCACATGCACATACACATATACACCCCCCCCACACACACACACTTCAAGTGCTATCTGGTAGAGGAGGCTGGCCAGGACAACAGAGCCTTTAGTGAGGAAAGAGCTGGGGCACAGGCAGAAGCAGGAAGAAGTGTTCTCTTATGGCTGTGACACTGCAGGACTCTAAGAAACCACTTAAGTCTAAACCAGTTCCATCAATGTCCCAAGATCCAGTATCCAGGCTCTATGATGTGGAGTCAGGGGCACAGTGTCCAGGAACAAAGTGGAGTGCTGGAAGACAATGAATGTATGAATTTCACAGGCAAGAAGAGGGGCATATTGATTTGTCAAAAGATATTGAAAAACTCTGGGTCCTTGACAGTGATTTTTAATCTGCTTGGGTCCTCTAGTGGGAAGAAGACAGCCTTGAGGATGTTCCTAGCCAGCCTGGTTCTGCGAAAACTCAGATTAACTTGTTCCTGGTAGGGACACCAATCCCTGGGTCTTTGCCTTTTGGCTCCCTCTGCTGGCCACCTTAAAGCACACATTCCTGAACCAGAGGAAATAATTTTATATTCATTCATTCATTCATTCATTCATTCATTTTGGTTTTTTGAGAGAGGGTTTCTCTGTAGCTTTGGAGCCTGTCCTAGAACTCATTCTGCAGACTAGACTGGTCTGGAACTCACAGATTCACCTGCCTCTGCCTCCTGAGTGCTGGGATTAAAGGTTGTATGCCACCAAGGTCCAGTCAAGAGGGAGTTATTTGAGAGCGAGTGCTTTCAGGTTTGTTTCAGGAATGGGGGCAGAAAGATGCATGTGGTAAGAAACTCCAGGATATACCAAGATTGCCAGGCTCCTGCCCCATCCTGAGACTACTCAAAGGCCTTCTCTAACCTTTCCTTATCAGATCCTAAATTTTCTCAAAGCTGGTGGCTGGCTTTCTGGCCAAAAAGTCCACAAACACTACCTATCTCACCAAAGCCATGCATAAAGGCTCTCTCAGCTGAGGATCCTTGCATCACCCCAGAAGGCTAACAAACCTCTCCAAAACCAGGCGGCTGACAGTCTCACTGGTCACCGGAGGCAGGTTCAAGGTTCCCTGTAGCATCGTTAGCTTCTTTCTTAGGCTCTGGAGGAAATGGAGAAAAACGTGAGAGAAAGGCTGAGGTACCGAGGACAACACCTGTGGGAAGGGTCCTGGGAACAGAGCAAGGGCTAAGTGCCCAACACCAGCCTTCAGAACTCCTCCTTGGGAAAGTCCTTGCTCTGGGGATGAGGAACCTTGGAGGTAGGATCTCAGCAGATCATAAAGGAAGATCCACGGTGCTATTGTATTGGCCCCCTGCTGAGGAGCCACAAGCTGTAGGCCAGATGAGGGCTAGGCACATATCCTGACCCACCTCCTTGACCCAGGAGGATAAAAAGAGCCCAGAACCACCACCCCTGACTGGTATACAGATTCCCGGGCAGAAACAGTCCAGTGCTACTCTTGGAGGCACATAAACAACCCCGTCTCCCCTTCTCACAAGGCCAGGAGTCTCACCGCGATCTCCTTGTCAGCGTTCTGTAAATCCTTCTGGGTTGACTTCAGTTCTAACTTGGCCTGATCCAGCTCAGCGTAGACAGTCTTCAGCTGCAACAAATAACAACCGGTGGGTCCACATGGCCTGTCCTCTACCTTCTGCCACCCAGTGGATGGTCAGGGTACTCTAAAAGAAACTACGTGGATGAGAGAAACCCCAGACCCTTGCGGACAGGCTCAACCAGGTATATACACATTGAGCTGCCTGGGAACAGCTGGCCCAAGAACCCTCACATTTGGGATAGGGTAAAAGACCTCTGAAGCTGTCACACTTGAGGACCGTGCTCTCCAAGCCAGCTAAAAATGTGCCTAGGGACCAAGAAGAGCAAGAGGTAGCATAAGCGTGTGGTGGGGGCATAGCTCCATGAATTGGCCCCCCAAGGACACAAGCCACAGAGGCAGAGACAATGAACAGTAAAAACTAGTAATTAATGTCTATAGGCCACCTCCACTAGCCCACTGGAGTCGGGCTGGATGGCCTAGCTCAGGAGACCCAGGTGAACACGACAAACGAAGACCGGCGTCTCCTTTCCCTGTTGTCCCCCGTCAGTTACCTTGCTCCTAGAGGAGGCCAGGTCCTTCTTCAACTTGTCAGCCAGCTCTCCTGAGGCCCTCCGTGCTTCTTTCAGATTCTCATACTCTCTGCAAAGTGGCCATGAGGAAAGATGTCAGGACAGTACACCCTGACACCACAGCACCACCTAACAAAGGCCTCGCTCAGAGCCTTAGTCCTTCTCAGTCTCCTCTGTCCTGGTGGCCCCTGGCAGGTCTGCATAGATTTTACTGAGGTCAGGAAACAAAAACTGTCCTCTCTTGTCCTGCAGGAACTGTGATTAGAGAGAACATGCAAGGAGCTCTGGCCTCACTAGGGGGCTCCCTACACCCCAAATGGAGGCATTTGAATTCTCTGTGCCTGTCAGTCAAATGGCTCCTTTCTCCCAACTTCACATCATCATACTGGAGAATACGGGCAGTTTCTCATCAAAGCCACACGGGGTCAGAACAGTGCTGATGGGAAACAGACTTCGGATACCGAGAGGGGCTCACAGTTGGGAGCTGCATGAGTTTCTCAGAGACCACACTGTGAGCCGGGCAATGGTGGCGCAGGCCTTTAATCCCAGCACTCAGGAGGCAGAGGCAGGTGATCTCTAGGAGTTCGAGGCCAGCCTGGTCTACAAGAGCTAGTTCCAGGACAGGCTCCAAAGCTACAGAAAAACTCTGTCTCAAACAAAACAAAACAGAAACACTTAGAATCCACACTCTGTTCTCCTAGCAATTCTAAGGTAAGTCTCTATCTCCATGCAAGAAAGTGGAAATCAGAGAGACCTCCAAAGCAGCCTAAGAGCTGGAGTTTACCCTACGACAATATGGTTCTAGAAATTGTTCTTCATACCATCTGCTTTACAGAAGATGGCAGCAGATATACAAATCTGGGGAATCATAGCTAGTTCTTGGCCTTACATACTTCTTGAGGGACACGCAGTACACAGCCAGCTGCTCCACCGCCGACTGTCCCACACCCATGTCTCGGATCATCTCCTCCACCTCAGACCGCTGGCTCTGGAGCAGGAGCTCAATCCTGAAAAACATTCCCGGCCCACGGCATTTGAAATCTGGAGGCTGATGGTTAGTCTGCCTCCCTTTGCTGCCGTTGCTATGGCAACAGCCTGGGCTGCTAGGATGCTTTAGCAGGTGGGTGTGCCCAAGGAAAGGTTCCACAGCAGAGCTGAGCTCAGCTCCAGGGATGTTGCTGAGGAAAAGAGGTGCTAACAGGGGACTTCAAGGGCAGGGCCTTCATGTGGAGAGGTCCCTGGGGGGAACATGGCAGGCACAGGCAACTGTTGGCCGCAGCACAAGAGTACCCATAAGAAGTTAAGGGGCCATAGAGGATAAGAGAGGAAACCTGTGTCCACAGGCTCCTGGACATGAGTCAAAGGTGACCAAACCCCATTTCCAGCTGCAGTTCTGAGAACACACCCTTTTCCCAGGGGCCCCCAGTGTGAAAGCACAGTACAGAAACCAGCTATGAACTCACTGCTCCATGGTTTTCATCTTGCTCTTGAGTCGGCGGGCCTCCTCCCGAGCTTGCTTGGTCTCATCCTGTTGCTGCTCAAGGAACTTCATCTGTTTCTGGAGAGCAAGCACACCCATGCATCTCCTTGGAACCACAGTCACTGAGAGCTATGCAGACCACCTTTTGTTTGGTTGGTTTTGGCTTTTGACAGGGTTTCGCACACCCCAGGTTGCCTATGAACTCACTATGTAGCCAAGGATGACCATGAACCCTGATCTTCTGCCTCTACTCCCCAAGTACTGGGATTATAGCAGAGTGCATCTCCAGACCTGGACCTGGCTATCTTTTGAAGATGTTGACAAACATGTATCTCCAAATCGTAAGATATAAAACCCGTAAGTAAGGGCTCCTCATGCTGAGCTATTCTGTGTTCTCTGTGTGTGTGTCTGAGAAGTGCTGGGAACCCCCTCATGCCAACCTGTGTGTGTGTGCGCATGCATGTGTGCATGTGTGTGCCTGTGAAGTGCTGGGAACCCAACCCAGGCTTTGCACTATAGCTCTCACTTGGCCTACGCTTTTGTTGCTAAGACACTTCAGGGCACTGTATCTTCACCTCTGGAGATGCGCCTTGCTATAGGCACAGTTCAGTGGCTCAGGCCTACTGTGGGCTGCCAAGATTCTATGGTCTGGGTCTCATGGTACATACTTGCTATAATATGACTGAAGAAGCCAAGAGCACAAACTCATCTCTCATCTAGACACAAGGACAAGAAGCGCCAAGGATAGGATAGGAGAGCCAGGTCAGGGACTGTCCTCAGCGGAGACACTCCATCTCTGGCCTGGGAATGTTCTGCAACCTGGTGCTAGCTTGTTCCCTCCCACCGGGCAGGACATGTGATTGATGCAGAAACAGAAAATGAATATCCTCGGGCCTTGTCTGCTCATGAGGATGGCTCCTATCCCTTTCAAATGGCACCCAGCAAGGGCTGCTCCTGCCTACAAGACTAGAATATCAATCGTGAGTTCAGATCAATCGCCTCACGGCCCTTGGAGAGCAGGGGGCTCATGAACCCAGGCTGATACAAAATTCATCTGGGCCTAGGCCTGCTTGCTCTGTGGCTTTGATCTGCTCGGTCAGCTCGGCACAGCGGACTTCAAAGGCCTTTGCTCCTCCCTAGGATGCTGTTTGATCCGGCTCCAGAGAGCAGCCCCGCCAAGGACTAGAGTCCTAATGGAAGATTCTTCAGACTGGCCTCATCAGTAGAGTAGGAGCTACTTTTAGAAACACAGCCCAGCCTACTCAGGTCTCCGTTGAGCAGGCCCTCTGTGAAGTGCTGGCAAGGCCTTGTTACCTGGTACAAAATCTACAAATACAGCCATCATAGCCCCTTTTCTTATGAACTTGATAGGTACGGTACGGAAGGGGCTTGGGAAGAAGAGATTTGCCTTCACCTTACCACTGTCTAAACAAAGGTATATTTTGAGGCAGAACTATTAGATCTGACTAGAGCTGTGAACGCAGGCTAGGGATGGTGGTGCACACATTTACTCTCGGCACTTGGGGAGGCAGGAGCAGGCAGATCACTGTGTATTCCAAGCACAGGACTGTGGCTATACTTCCCCACTGACCCTGAGGACTTACTTTAAGAGTGGAACACAGCATCTCTGTCTTCTCTAAGGCATTCTGCAGGGACTCCACAGTGGCATTGCGTTCTTCCAATGTGTCCCGTAGAGTGTCGATAATGGCCTGGCTGTCCCGTTTCTCCCTCTCTGGAGCAAGGGCAGAGAAAAGCAAGGCAAAGGCCCATCCATGCATGACAACCTTGACCCTTGAATTTAAGCAACTTATCCCTGAGCCAGGTAAGAATAAGGTGAGGCCTGAAAGTTAGGTGGCCTGCTTTTCTCTCCGCTATGCACCAAGAAAACTAAGCTAGGGCTTTCACCTAAGAGACAAGCTCTCCTTTTTCCTGTGTGAACTATTTGGGTAGATCTCACTGTTCCCCACTCCTGCAGCTCTAATTAATTCATCATTACACAACTCAAGCAAATCCCTGCTAAACTCAGCATCTGAGCCCTGAAGATACAAACTCATCAGGTAGGACCCTGCCAAATCTGGTCCTGGGCAAGAAGTTTGAAACAGTGAAAAGAGGCTGCCTTGGCCCAGGTGGACAGTTTCAGCCGCCTTCTGCTCTTTGGCTGGTTATAAGGGCTGGCAAGACAAAGGAGGAAGAACATCTGGCTTTCCCCTTAGGTCCTCTCTCCAACAATCGAGTCAGGGGCTTCCCAGGGCCTCTTGTCGCTTGTTAATTTACCTTTGTGGGAAAGCTGGGCTCTAATACTGTCCAGTTCATTCTGCAAGACAATACACACAATAAATGACAAGAACACATTTCAGCTAGCCTCCATATGGGCCCCCATAAGGCTGTGCAGAGCCCCAGGATCAATGAAGACTGTTGGTCCAGGAAAGGACCCAATACACTTCAAGGTCAAGTCAACAGAGAGATGCACATTGTTTTATGTTTATGATTTCTTTGTTTGTTTTGAGACAGTCTCACTAGATAGCTCAGGCTGTCCTAGAACTCATTATGTACACCAAGCTGGCCTTGAACTCACAGAAATCCACATGCCTCTGCCTCCCAAGTGCTGGGATTTAAGGCATATGGGACATTTTTTATTTTTTTTTATTTTTTATTTTTTTTTGGTTTTACGAGACAGGGTTTCTCTGTCGTTTTGGAGCCTGTCCTGGAACTAGCTCTTGTAGACCAGGCTGGTCTCGAACTCACAGAGATCCGCCTGCTTCTGCTTCCCGAGTGCTGATTAAAGGCATGCGCCACCACTGCCAGGCATGGGACATTTTTTAAAAAGATTTATTTACTTTTGGGCTGAAGAGGTGGCTTAGAGGTTGAGAGCACTGGCTGCTCTTCTAGAGACCTGAATTCAATTCCCTGCAATCACATGGTGGCTCACAACCATATATTAATGAAATCTGATGCCCTCTTCTAGCATATGGACAGACACAGCACTCATATACATAATCTTTTTAAAAAAGATTATTTTTATTTTATGTGTATCAATGTTTTGTCTGCATTTATGTCAGGGCATCATGTATTCACATTGCCTATTGGGGACAGAAGACGGTGTCAGATTCCCATGTGGGTGCTGGGAACCAAGCCCTGTCATTTGTAAGAACAGCCAGCGCCTGTAAACCCTGAGCCATCTCTCCAGCTCCTTTCTGAGCCTTTTAGAAAGGTAGGTGAGATGCACATAGTGAATCCCGCAGGAAGTGAAGCTTGGCTGCTGGCTGGCTGGTCAAGAGCAGAGGCTTCCAGGGCTCCTGGCCCAGCAGTAGCCTCCCTCAGCCCCAGAATACTCGCTGCACTCACAAGGGACACAGAACAGAGACGGCCACTCCGCTCTGAACCATCACCAGTTCTCTCCATCGTGGGCTTTGCCTGCTTTGTGTACCTCCCTCTAAGCTCCAGGCTGACTCTGAGAAGCTGGGGTAGAATTACATCCAGCTCCCATTTGGGAGTGTGGAGAACTCAATGCCTCTAGGAGCAAGAGATGCCTATAGCCACAGTCAGGAGAACAAGGATTTTTACAGCACACTTCCAGGCATACTTTCCTCCAGACCACCTTTGAAAGGTTATCAGAAGACCCAGGATTTCACATGACCAGTGGTAAGCCCCTGACTACCAGCTCAGGGCTCTGGGAGTAGGAGCTCCTGCATTGGGCAGCATAGACCACACAATTGGGAATGGAAATGGTAGATCTGCCTGCGAACAAACACCGGCTGCTGCAGCTCCCATCTCTCCAAGGTCCTTCCACACCTCAGCAGGATGCCTTGAAGTCCTGGCTCCAAACTATTCAAGATGCTGCCTCCCTGTCTCACAAACTTGGCTTTGAAAGCTGAAAAGACTGGAGCTGCCTTTGTTGTCTTCATCACAGGGAGAACACCTCTTAAAACTAGGAGCAGTTACCATGACGATGAACAGGCTGGCTCCAAACACAAAAGCTCCGACCATTTTGAGGCAAGGAGGTTCCAAGGACATCACATTGCCCAGGGGGCTAAGGTCTAATGAGTTGTAATCTGACAGATTCCCAGCAAATTAACCCTTAGCATTCAGCAAGCACTTGGAAACCCCAACCCAATTTTCCTCATGACATCCTGAAAATCTAGCTCCCTCACACAAAACAAGGAAATCTTAGATTTGGAGGGGAAACAGGAGAAGATAGAAGGCAACCTGGTTACCCTCCCCATAGTCAGGCTAAAAATCTTGATTTCTGGGGCTTTGCCCTCTATGGCTGGGTTTGGAAAGGCCCAGGCATCTGCCTTTACACCATGTTCTCTAGGCACCTTTGAGGCACAGGCAGGTTAAGGAATGGTGGATTTACACAGCTTCCCTGACTAGTGAGAATGGAAGAATTTCTTAATGTGTCACTAACTGTTCAGCACAAAAGCATGCTGGGCAGGAAGGCTCGAAGTCCTCGAAGTCCTTCATAAGGCAAGGGCCTTCAGAGAGGCGTGTGATCCTCCAGTCCAAATTGCCCTGAATGCCCAAGGGGAGTTCTCAGTCATGGGCCCCTTTCCTCTTATAGTATACGCCTCTGATGACTGTCTCAAAGCCACCTGCCCTCACCCTGACAGCTCTGCCAAGTCTTTGTTCCACAGGCCTAGCTCCATCTAACACTCTAGGCACCTTCTCAAGTGGAAGTGAAAAGTGAACTCTTAGAAGGTTTGGAATCCAATAGAATGAGATAAATCCTGGGTACCTTTAAGAATTCTGCATCCAAGAGACTCTCCTCTTCCTGGGCAAGGTCAAAGAAAAGTTTATTGATAATAGCCTTTTTGCCAACCTGGATGGGAGAACAAGACAGAGAACAACGGTGGAGTGAGGTCAAAGGTGAGGAGGAAAGATTACCCGTGGCTTTGGCTGCCGGCCACATGTGCCAGGCCTGCTCTCAGGCCTAACTTTTCAGCACATATCCTTTTGAGTGAGAAGACCTCTTTCTACACGTACCCAGAGTCAGGACTGCTGGTCTGCTGGTGGCTGAAGACATGTCGCTGCAGACAACACTTATGAGTGCTTAAAAGATTCTTCAACTTTATGCACGGGAACATTTGTTAAACACTGAAGGAGGCCAAATGCACACAAGAGAAGCACAACTGAGAAGGTTACACCATGGGTGTAAGTAAGCCTCCAGAGTGACTTATGGGCATCTGTGAGAACCAACTGGCCTCAAACCAAGGGGGGCAAAAAGGTCAGAATATTTCTATTTCAGAGATGTCTTCCCCATCCCTGTTTTCTAGAAAGAAGGTCTTTAGCTGAGACCCACACTCCATCATCCTTACCTGGATTCTACACTGTGGGCAGGTCCGACTTGGTGCTGTCTCAAACCACTGGATTAGGCTACAATGAAAACAATAAAAGACAAGTAATCCTCACATGGCTGGGGATACAGGTCACATGGCCACTGCTGTTAGCACCCCTTTGCCCCAACACCTGCCTGACTGCAATGGAATGACTTTCTGTAAGGGCTGCACAGTGCTCGGTTGGCTGTGGTTTGGGGTTTGGAGGCTTGGCCAAAGGCTATTCTTTGCAATCTGGGCTGCAGAATGTACATGACAGACAAAACTCAGAGTCTCTCAGGAGGCAGAACTTCTGTTAGAAACTTCTGTTACTTTAAGTTAGAACTCTAAGGGCTACACAACCCAGATTTACATAATTTACCAGTATAGTCCAGCAAAACTCAGGTTTTTTTTTTTTTTTTTTTTTTTTTTTGGTTTTTTTCAAGACAGGGTTTCTCTGTAGTTTTGGTGCTTGTCCCGGAACTAGCTCTTGTAGACCAGGCTGGCCTCGAACTCCCAGAGATCCGCCTGCCTCTGCCTCCCGAGTGCTGGGATTAAAGGTGTGCACCACCACCGCCTGGCCAAAACTCAGGTCTTAAAAATTAACTGAAACAGCCTCCTGCAGGTGTGGTGGTACCTACCTGTAATCCTAGCATTAGGCAGGAGAATTATACAGAGAGAAAGAAAGAGAAGAAAGAGAGAGAGAGAGACTTGGGGCAGACTTCTTCACCCCAGGAATGAGAGACAAACAAACTCCTCTTTGAAAAGTGGTACCATTTCCTACGGCCAATTCTTTCCTATAAATACATTTTTAAAACTACAAATATATTCAAAGGCCACGTACAACACAAAATTAAGGCTAACAAGAAAAAGTGGAATAGTTAACTAAGAAGCATATTATCAATGAATCATTAAAATATAATGAAGAGAAGTTAGACACATGCACAAAAGCATATTCTGCATGATCTCATCTGTATAAAAGGAAAAACAGGCAAAGTGGTACCGTTAGGAGTGTGTGGGTGCTGACAGGTAATCAGAAGAGCATGTGACATTTCTAATGCCGATAATATCCTCTTTGTTCTGCAGAGCTGGAGAGCTAACCTAGATCCTTATTCACGCAGGACTGAGCTGCCCTCCCACTTCTACACCGCGCTCCTAGACCTGAATTCCGACTGCACAGATGTGTGGCCAGGTGCAGGGATGAACACCTTCAATCCTAGTACCTGGGAGGGAGAGGCAGGCAGACTTCTGAGTTTGAAGCCAGCCTGGTCTAACAAATTGAACTGAGGCAATTAAGGCTACTTAATGAGATGCTACCTCAAACAAACAAAAACAAACAAACAAACAAAAGAAGCCAGGTATGGTGGCCCACACCGTATCTTAGATGCTTGAAAGGCAATGAAAGGCCTCCCAATGGTGAGATACTGTCTCAAACCAAAAGCAAACAAACAAGCCAGCCAGTATTTGGGAAGCAAAGGCAGGAAGATCAGAAGTTCAAGGTCATTCTCACCTATATAGTAAGCTTAAGGCCCACCTCGGCTACAAGAGACCCACCAACAAAACCAACCAACCAAGTTAAAAAGCTAAGGGCAGAGATACAGTTCAGTGATAGGGCATTCGTCTACCATGTTGGAAACCCTGGGTTTGAGGATGGCAAACAAGACAACAGAACTCAAAAAAAATGAAAAAAATATAGATATGATAAAAGACATAGAAGGTACTCTGAGAAAATCTGGCACACGTATGTATGAAAGCACCAGAAAGACAATGGTAGGCGGAATAATGCCACCTACCTCCAAAAAAGACTATCCTTACCCCTGCTGTGAACATGTAATCTTAGACAGCAACAAGAATTTTGCAGGGGCTGGAGAGATGGCTCAGTGGGTTAAGAGCACTGACTGCTCTTCCAGAGGACCCGGGTTCAATTCCCAGCACCCACATGGCAGGTCACAACTGTCTGTAATTCCAGTTCCAGAGGACCTGATACCCATGGCAAAATACCAATGCACATAAAATTAAAAAAAAGACTTAAAAGAATTTTGCAGAAGTCACTAAACTAAGAATCTTGAGATAAGGATTTCTGTTATTTTTTTGTCCCAATGTTAAGGATTGAACCCAATCGCTCCCACCTTCCGGCTTGAGGTCTGCTGTGCCGCACCTCCTAGTCCTGAGATAGGAGCATCAAAAGCCTGGCAGAAAGAATTTTGAAGCAAGCTCTAATTAGTATGAATGGACCTCTAAGACACTAAGTTAGCTGAAATGAACCTATCACAAAAGACAAACTGTACTTGGAGAAATCAAGTTCATTGAGACAGAAAGGAGAATGGCAGTCACCAGGCCTCAGGGCAGAGACCACTGAAGCAGTGCCGCGTGTCAATCTGGGAAGACAAAACCATTTTAAAACCGTGGTGACAGCTGTACAAAACGTGAATGCTTAACAGCACTGAGTTATGTGACCTTCAAGTTGTTCTGCTGTAGCCCAGGCTGGTCTTCCTATCTCAGCCTCCTGAGTGCTGGGATGAGAGCTAGTCACTACTCCAGCTTGAGGTTTCTTTTGTTGGTTTTGTGTATGTCTGGTTTTTTTTTTTTGTGTGTGTGTGTATGTCTGTTTTAAGTGTGCCTGTGTGTGACCTGAAATGGAACCTCTGGCCTCATGCAAGCTAGGCAAGCACTTTACCACTGAACCAGCCCTAAAATCATTAAGATGGTAATTTTTATGATGGACATATTTTGCCACAACTGAAAAACAAAAACAAAAAATAAACCAAAAATCGATGTGATGTATGCAGTACTTGGAGGACATCTATCATTAAAAGGGAAGGATTACGAGTATAGCTATCTGGGATAGTACTTGTGCAAGGCCCTGGGTTTGAATCACACACACACACACACACACACTTTAGACAAGTTTTCACTATGTAGCACAGGTTGGCTACATTGTGTGTGTGTGTGTGTGTGTGTGTGTGTGTGTGTGTGTGAGAGAGAGAGAGAGAGAGAGAGAGAGAGAGAGAGAGAGAGAGAGAGAGAGATTTAGCTCAGAGATAGAGCATGGGGTTAGTATATAACAGGCTATATGTTCAATGTCTAGCACTAAAAATAATAAAATGGTGTTTGAAATCAGCTTGTGCAACAGAGACATGTGAGAGAGACAGAGAGACAAAGACAGAAAGAAGAGAAGCAGACAGTTGTAGAAGATAGTATGCCAGGTCCCAAAAACCCTAAATATAGAATCTCCATCTGCCCAGTCTCTCGGCCCCAGGTATATGTTCTACGGAACTGAAACAGAGACCCAGACAGGTCCTTGTACCGCAGTTCACTCATGGGAGCACTACTCAAGCAGGCACAACCTAGAAGTGCCTGCCTATCAGCAAATGAATGTAAACAAATATGGCATTTTCTTACACACAATTAATATTAACCACAACAAAAGGAAAATTATGGTGCATGCTATAAGATGGGTGAATGTTAGAATTATTATGCTAAGTGAAGTACATCAGACTCAAACAGGCAAAGAATTAAGACTCCTCCTATATGGGATCTCTAGAGTAGGCACCTCAGGGGCAGAAGGTGCAGAAGAGGGGTTCAGGGCCTACAAGAGGACACGGAGAGTTATCATGTGATAGATACTGAAGGTTATACAACATTGTAAATGTACTTAATGTCACCAATCAGCACCTGAAAATGGTTACAACAGTGTCAGGTATGGTGGTACACAACTTTAATTTCTGCACTCAGGTGGATCTTTGTGTTCAAGGTCAGCCTGGTCTACATAGTGAGATATTGCTTCAAAAAAAAAGTTTAAAAAAATTTAAGTTAAAATAGTTAATTTTATAAAATATACTATATAATAATAATAATAATAATAATAGAACCAGGCATCGGAGTATATGCCTATAACTTAGCTCCCGAGAGTCTAAGAAAGGAAGAGTTTAAACTTGAAGCCAGGCTTGCTACATAATATAATAGTAGTATTTAAAAAAACCAATGACTTGGAGCTGGAGTGTGAAGCACTGGCTGCTCTTCCAGAGGACCTAGGCTTGATTCCCAGCACCCACATGGAGGTTCACAACCGTCTGTAACTCCAGTTCCAGGATATCTGATACCTTCTTCTGATCTACAGATACTGTTATGTTCATGGTGCACAGACATACCTGCAGGGAAAACACCCACATACTTAAAATAAAATAGAATAACAACAACAACAACAAAAAGCTAAAGATGTATCTCAGTGGTAGAATACCTATTAGTTCTCAAGTGACTCCCAGCAATACACCACACACACACACACACACACACACACACACACACACACTCTACCAGTGGCCTTTTGGAAAGCCTGCTCTGGAGGCAAAAAATAAAAAATAAAAAATCCAGGAACGCAACGAGGGCTAGACTCTTCTATCTAAGAGGTAAATAAGGAAACACACACTTTCTAGTGGTAACTTTCACTTTTACTTCATCTTAAAAACCCCTTTCTAAAAATCTCTGTCTCCACACAGCTACACAACACTTCTTTCTCCATCACAGGTCTCTCCTACTTCTCCCTACATTTATCCTGCTTCTTCTCACAGCCAAAAGCTCTGGACAAATATGAACTGCATTCTCAGGGTCACGCAGCAAGCACTTCTTGAATAAACAATAAGAAACGGAGCTAAACCAGGCTGTGGTGGCACACGCCTTTAATCCCAGCATTCGGGAGGCAGAGGCAGGTGGATCTCTGTGAGTTTGAGGCCAGCCTGGTCTACAAGAGCTAGTTCCAGGACAGGAACCAAAAAGCTACAGAGAAACCCTGTCTCGAAAATCCAAAAGAAAAAAAAAGAAAGAAACAGAGCCATACTGGTCATACAGTTTCTCTCAGGCTAGGGATGTCACACTGACCGGCCAGTGAGTAACACACGTAGCTCTAAGTGGTCAGAGTTCCCAGACAGAAAGTGACATTGAAACTCAGGACTTACACAGTAAATAGTTGGCTGAACCTTGAGGTTGGGAGTGCGTGCAGAAAGTCCACTGCTGAGCCACTTATGTCTATTAAAGTTGCCTCATGCTCTGACCTTGAATCAGCAATAAACACCTGGGAAATATATTTGTCTCTAAGGGCAACTAGATATTCATCTCCAGGGGCAACCAGTTTGCTTTGAATTTATTCTGAAGTCTAAAATTAGCTGTCTTTGTGACTGAGAATACTATTACTTTCTTATATCAGTCTAAGTAATAAAAAATATCCTTATGAATAATTTCTATTCATCAAAATTATAGTTAAGCAGAAATCATCTTCCTGATCATCCACAGTTATATGTGTGCCCAGTAGATGTAATATTTTCACAAGACAAACACACAAGCAGTGGGAAAACACCCAGAGCTGTTATTATTGGCACGTGAGAAAAATTACAGAGAACCTCCAGCCTTACCAAGTGGGGCTCCCATCAGAGAGTCACTCATCTGGTAGATCAGACTATTGAATACCAGTTGTCACCTGCTGTATACTCCCATGGCCTCCAGCAATACACACACAGAAAGATGGTAGGTAGGTGGGGGAATGGAGATGTAGCTCAGTGGTAGAGTACCTACTTAGCATGAGCAAGGCCCTTAGTTCAAATTATAACTACAGAAAGCAATTAAGTTAGAAGGTGGCAGAGGTAGGAGACAGGAGCATTAAAATAAATAACATAAGGTCCATAATTAAAAGCTAAGATAAATACCCATGAGTCCAAATAACTGAATAAACTTTTCCTTCCTGGCTGATTGTGAACTGGACCTCGTAACTTGCTCTAGAATACTGGAAGAAAAACAGTAACTTTGCAGTGGAAAACTTGGACAATACTAACTTAACCAAAGACTCTAAGTTAAGGTCCCCAAAGATGAGGCATATTGATGTAATGGCACACCCTCAACAAGTTGCCAGGAGAAGGGCACCTCACACTGTGGTACTCTCCCCTAAACCCAAGTCCAATTATAAGAAAACGTGACAAGGGGGCTGGAAGGATAGCTTAGTGGTTAAGAGCACTGACTGCTCTTCTAGAGGACCAGAGTTCAATTCCCAACATCCACACAGTAGCTTACAACTGTCTGCAACCTTAGTTTCAAGGGACCTGATACCCTCACAAGGATATACATGTGGGCAAAAACACCAATGCTCATAAAATAAAAATTAATTAATTAAAGAGAAAAGAAGACATTATAAACTCAAATTAAGAGACAATCTACAAAATAACCAACTGGACTCTTCAAAAGTGTCAAGACCATTAAAACAAATAAAACAACAAAATCTACAAAAACACCAAAACTGTTACAGACCAGAGTTGTCTAAAAAGATATATCAACGCTGGGCGGTGGTGGCGCACGCCTTTAATCCCAGCACTTGGGAGGCAGAGGCAGGCGGATCTCTGTGAGTTCGAGACCAGCCTGGTCTACAAGAGCTAGTTCCAGGACAGGCTCCAAAACCACAGAGAAATCCTGTCTCAAAAAAAACCAATTTATATATATCAACTGCATACAGCCTGGTAACTTAGCCTGACTCCTGGAATAAACTGAAAAGCATTAATGAAGGAAAAACACCAGTAAAACTCAAACTCTGTAGTATCAGAGTAGTGCACCAGTGTTAACTTCTTAGCTTGGAGAATTGCACAAACATTTTGTAAAAATATGAATACTGGAGAACTTGTGCAAAGGGCATAGAATAACTCTCTGTATCATCATTTCAATTTATCAGTAGAGGAAAACTATTCCAAACCCCCTTCCCCCCCAAAAAAAAACCATTAATCGGAAGGCAAAGGCAGGCATATCTTTTGAGTTTAAAGCCAGCCAGAGCTACATAGTGTGACACTGTCTCAAAAAAAGGAAACATTTATTCAAAACACATGGGGCAGGGAGGACTTGGACTAATACTCAGTGGATAGAGTACTTGCCCAGCATGCACAAAGCCCTGAAGTCAATCCCTAGCACCAAACATGGATGGTACTCACGTATTCCAACACTTGGGTTAGGAATGCAGGGTCATCTATGGCTACACAATAAGTTCAAGGCCAGCCAACTATACATAAGATGATGTACATCAGTGGAAGCCACAAGTAGTGGCACTCACTTGCGATTCCAGCACTCAGGAGGCTGAGGCAGGAGGACTGCCACGAATCCCAGGCTAGCCTGAGCTGGATACCAAGTACCAGCCAAGCCAATGCTACCTAGCAAGACTCTGTTTCAAAAATGAAACAAACAGCCGGGCAGTGGTGGCGCATGCCTTTAATCCCAGCACTCAGGAGGCAGAGGCAGGCGGATCTCTGGGAGTTCGAGGCCAGCCTGGTCTACAAGAGCTAGTTCCAGGACAAGCACTAAAGCTACAGAGAAACCCTGTCTCGAGAAAAAAAAAAAAAAAAGAAACAAACAAACAAAAACCAGATACAAGGCCTTGGGATACAGACTGGTGGTAGAACATTTGCCTTCTGTGCACAAGGCATGGATGGAGGCGGGCACCCACCTACAATCTGAGCTCTAGGACACAGAAGAAACAGAACTGGAAATTCAGGTTAGCCTAAGCTGCACACAGCAAGACTTGTTTGTTTTAAAAAGACTGGAGAGATGGCTCAGTGGTTGAGAGTCCGCATTGGTACTGCTCTTTTAGCTGTCCTGAGTTCAGTTTCCAATACCCACATCAGGTAATTTACAACTGTGTAGTTCCAGCCTCACTTGGATCAGATGTCTCTGGCCTCCAAGGGCACCTGCAGTTGGTGTGCACACAGCTACACAGACATGCACATGAACATGTAATTTAAAATAAAAATAAAACAGCTGGATATGATGGTGCATGCCTTTAATCCCAGCACTTGGGAGGCAGAGGCAGGCAGATCCATGAGTTTGAAGCTACCCTGGTCTACAAAGTTCCAGGATAGCCAGGGATACACAGAGAAACCTGTCTTGAAAAACCAAAACAAACAAACAAACAAAAAAAACCCACAGACAAACAACAAAAACAAAACTACAAAAAAATCAAAAATAGATGGAACAAAATAAAAAATACTGAACATGATAAATTCAATCTAAATATCAGTAATTGTGTCTTTTAATTTTGTTTTTCGTGACAGGGTTACTCTGTGTAACATCTCTGGCTGTCCTGGAACTCACTTTGTAGACCAGGCTGGCCGTAAACTCAGAGATCTGCCTGCCTCTGCCTTCTGACTGCTGGGATTACAGGTGTGTGCCACCACCTGCCACCACTGCCTGGAATAATTGTGTCATTTTAAGTGGACTAAAAGGTCCAGTTAAATGCAAAGATCATTAAATCAGATTCTCAAAGTCAAATATGCTTTCAAAAGACAAACCTCAATGGCAAATACACAGGAGAGTTCCAGGTTAAAGGTTAGGGAGAACAGGTAATGGAAAGTACTTTTAGTGGCAGGACTGACTTCTAAGTATACAATGACTCCCTGAGCATGTGTTTTTGATTTTGTCTTTTGACACAAGGTCTCAGAAAGTCCAGGCTCTACCTCACTGTGTAACTGAGACTACCCTTGACCTCCTGATCTTCCTGCCTCTCCACCCTCCCCTCCCCTCCTCTTCTCTTCCCTCCCCTCCCCTCCCTTTCCTGGGATATGTCACACTTCTGACTATAACATGGTCTTAAAGTTTTGGAAGGACTATCCAGCAGTGTTCAGGATACTGTCCTTTCCCACTATCCCAAAGGACCACGCTTTTCCTTATTTTCTCTTTTGTTGGGAACTTTGAACCAGCCTGTTCACAGTTGCAAAGGGTCCCTTTCCCCACTCACAAGATAGCTGAGCATCAGGACCCCTTAACAGGAAGGCACTTCCTTGCCTTTCCAAGTTAGGCCGGGTTTGCCGGAGTGGTGAATACACTAGGGTATCTGGCCAATGAGATGCTTCTGGATAGAAACAATCCCAGCCATCAAGCAAACCACACAGACCCTTAAGGGTTGACAGAAGTCTACCTGGTTGTTTGTTGAGCCTCAAAGAAATAAAAGGGCTCGTTAATGCGGAAAAAAGCTCATCTCATCTCCGCTCAGACTAACAGTTTCAAAGTCACATTTCTTTGCACAAGTTAATAAAGAGGCACCTCTTTTCACCGTACCCCGGGCAGCTATCGCTTCCACCTGGTTCACTTCGGCCCAGGCCGGAAAGCTTCCGTGAGGCATCCCTAATGTCACCACCTGTCTGAGTTCGGAGGCTGGCCTGCCTCTAGGCCCGATACCCCATAGCCTCTAGGACACGCGACGGGGACCCTACACCGCTGTTACTCACCATTGCATGTGGAAAGTGTGGCCACAGTGGATGGCAGCCACGTCGCGGGAGTGATCGAAGAAGTCGGAGCAGATAGTGCACAGAGCGCGGATAGGCATAATAGTTCGACTCCAGTGACCAGGACAGCCCGTGAAACTGCAACAGATTCAGCTTGGTGGCCGCACTGCCGCGGCTCCACTTCCTTCAAATTTCGCTCCACTGCATAACTTCCGGTGCTGGACCGGAAGTCATGACAACCAACCGTAGCTGATTACTTCGCTCTGATTGGACAAACTTCAGGGCGGAGCGCTGGATCAGCAGGGATAAGAGGCCCGCCAACTGTGCAGAATCCTGGGACTTAGCGCGGCCGCTCTTTGGGATCTCCTAGGAATGGATCCCCATTTCTGCTAGTAGTGGCCTGTGATGGACTGGGGCGGAAAACAGTGACGCCGCAGGCTGATCCCTATCCCTGCTAAACTGAGTATTGTGTCAAACTAGAGCTAGTGCAAAGCGAACCAGACCTCTTCTTGCTGCACGTCGGGGCAGTCTCATAGAATGACATCCCAAGGCAAAGGGATGACGGTCCCAAGGTTATGAAAAGTGATAGTGTGCCGGCAGCCACAGTTCGCAGACCAGAAGAAGGCCCCCACTTTCTCAGCCTTCTATTATGAATGGTCTTGGAAAGATGAACACATTAAGTCCCAACCCATCAAAACACTACTACACTAGCCTTGCCTTTATTCAAATATGACCTAATAACCCTTGAAATTAGGTAGATACTAGGGCCAGTAATTTAGCTCTTATCTCCCAGGATTCCTCATGCCTGGGACTGTAGAATAATGATTTTGGAGGCACAGATGCTTCAAAGACCAGGAAATAACAAACCCTCTTTATTATTCCCACATCAGATAATTTAAGGTCCTCCCTGAGAAAGCAACCCAGGTGAGTTCAGCAAAGCCCATCTGAGCTGAAGCAAGTCTCCGTAGGGATTCTAATGATATAGTTAGCAGTATTACTCCCCCAGAAGAAACATACATGACTCCAGCCGGGAAGACAGAGTGAAATCTTTTTGGTCTAAGTGGAAAGCACAGGTATTCACAGGAAGTAGGCATCAACATACAGCACAGAACTTTTGTGCAATCCTACCCTCTCCCCAGCCCAAAGAGGCCCACTCTGGCCACAAGCAAGGTCTCTCCCTGGAATGGTTGGTCCTGAGTGGATCCCATCTCTATGTCCAAGTTAAGACAAAGGCTCCTTGGTCCACAAGAGTTGGAAAAGCGTCAGCCCTTCAGGCACTCACTCAGGGATAGTTCTTGGCTGAAATACATCACTCACATGGTTCTCTAGAGTCCAGAGGATCCCCAGCAACACCACCCAAGTATTCATTAGAACGGGTGACCTACACTTTCACCCCAAGCAATGCACTGAGCATCAGCCTCTCCCCTCCCCCGCTGCCTCCCATGGGACAGAGGAAGCAAAGGCAAGAGGGTGGCCAGAGGCTTTGCAGGGTGACGTTTATTTGCCAGGTTCAGTAGGCACACAGTTAGCCCACCAACCTTCACATACCAGAGCAGACCCACAGGCATGCAGGGAGAAGGGCAGGACCACCATGGAGTGCCGAGCTAAGGCAAGGACCAGCGTGGCTGCCTGTTCAGGCTGTGATAGGGTTGAACCAAGGGCACCTGTCAAGAGCATCCTCCAGGACCGAGGAATCTTATTCTGCTTCCTCATCCCAGCAAGAGCAACTTAACATGGCTGAGTGATACTTCAGCCCGTCATAGCAGAAATAGAGGAAAATCCTCTCCATGTTGCTGAACAAAGAGCAGAAAATCTGCCGCTGTAAAGAGCAAACTTGCAAGCAGCCTATGAGGTACTGCCATGCCTCCCTGGGAGGAAGAGGATTTATAGCCTGAGCCTGTGTGAGGTGGCCACAGGTAAGATCTCTTCCTGTGGTAGTGGCATCTAGGAAGACCATGGGGGTAGTGGCATCTAGGAAGACCAGCCCTCCCTATCCCACTCAGAGGAAGGACCCAGCTAGGTTGGGGCCCTGGTGCTGGCCCTACACTGTTCTCCCAGGTCTCATCGCTGCATCCTGTTTCTCCCTTCCTTTAGAATTTCGTAAGAATCGGGATACAGAGCAACCCATTACAGGACAAAGGAAGGCAAGAAATAACACAAGGATCTTCAGAGGGCCTACCCAGGGGAAAAGATGGAAGCTTCTACCTTTCTACCCATTCTCTCTCCCACATCTGAGGATCCCCATAGCTAACGTGCAGTGCCCCCAACCATGTGACCAGACTTGACTTAAAGCACACTGCCCTAGATTTCTGAGTCCTCTCAAGCAGCCAGTGTCTACCCCTAGAGCAGCTCACACACCGCAGATACACACCTTTATGTGCAGGAGCCTAACACTGCTGATAGGGCCTCGCTGGAGGACCAGCTCTCAGGGCAAGGCCACCCAATTTAGGGCCTGGGAAAGTACGAGACTTGCAGGGCCTGCCTGGGGAAATGATGAGGCAGGAAGGAAGGAGAAGGAGAGCAAGGACCCCCTGAGTTTCTTCCCTAGAGCAGCATCCCACAAGGAACAGAAACTGGTGAAGCTAGCAAAAGACAGGAAAGCCACAAGGAATCCATGCAGGGGCTAGGGCTGGCCCTGCCTCTGGCCTGCCCACCACTCACACACATCCACACAGGAGACAAGACTGCTCTCCCATGGCCCCCAGGCATGCCCCACTGGGATGAAGGAGCTTGGGGGAGCTAGGGCATCATGCCAGTGACTCTATATACAATGAGAAGCCCCTCATCCACACTCCCACCCTATTTCCCATCCCTCAAAGCCCCCAACAGGCTGCCCATTCAGCTTGTCTTCTCCCTCTGAGACTCCTGGGCACAGCCAGTAGCCTCTTCTCCTTTACTAGAGGGAGGAGCCTGGCCTGTGGCACCCTCTAGAGCTGTGCTGTCCCGCTGGGCCACAGCCGGCTCAGGGGTGGCAGCTGCCTTTGCAGCTGGCCCGGCCCCGCTTTGGGTGGCGGGCACTGTGCTCTCTTCTGTAGCCGGGGTAGCTCTCCCATCGGTAGCTGGTGTAGCACTCCTGTCAGTAGCTGGAGTGACACTCCCGTCAGTGGCTGGGGTGATGCTCCCATCAGTGGCTGGGGTAGCGCTGCCATCTGTGGCTGGGGTAGCGCTGCCATCTGTGGCTGGGGTAGCACTACGATCTGCAGAGGCTATATTATCACTCTTGGCAGCAGCCCCAGCATCGCCCTCTGTGGCTGCAGGAGCACTACCCCCAGAAGCTGCAGCTGCAGCTGCTGCAAAGGCCCCACCGGCAGCCCCAGGAGTGGCAGTATCTGAAGCGGACTGGGCTGCAGCTGTGCCAGACTGCTCTGGTGCCCGGAGACGTTTCATGAGAGTGGTCACTCGGACAGCCTTCTGCAAGGAGGACAGTGAAGAAAAGCTCGTGGTGAGGTTTGCTGGATCTACTCCTTCAAAACGGCTAACCCATCTCCTTCCATAGTACCACAGTTGCCTCTGGCCACCCAGCTGCTCAGTACTTCAAGTTAAGATAATAGCAGAAGCTAGAAGCCGCATATGATAGCCTGAGAAAAATTTGTGTTCAGCTGAAGAGGTGCAGCGGCAGCAAGGAACTGTGGGTGCAAGAAGAAGCACTTGGAATTGGGCCAAGAAGAAAGCGAGCCAAACCCTACCTTCCACTTGGCTCTGGCAAAGTTCTTTTCAATCTGGGCACAGACACCATCCTTGATGTTCTTATCAGAAGCGGCGTTACCAGAAATCCTAGAAAGGAGGCAAGTGCCGCAGATAGGACACTCTGTGCCTTCATGGAGACAACACAGCCCTTCCCTCTGTGCCTCAAGGATAAGGACTCCTGGTGTAAGAAGTTCAGAGGGTAACCAGAACTTAGCCTCAACTCCCTTTCTCCACGGGACCCTGCTCACCATTCGTGGGAGATGGCCTCTTCTGCAGTGATCCGCTGGTCTTGCTCCACCTCCATCAGCCTTGTGACCAGGTCTTTGGCTGGGGACAAAGCCAGGGATGGGCTAGGCATGGGCGCCCCATCTCATTGTCTAGCTGTGATGAATGGGCTGGGGAGCAGGAGTAGAATCCAGCAGAAGCTGAGAGCAGCGCCTCCCTCCTTACTGCCCTTTGCTCTGCCCACATGCTGGCCATCTCCTCACCTGCCTGAGAAATATCGTCCCAGTATGGAGAGTCAAACTCATAGTCACCAGCCAGGATCTTGCGGAAGAGATTCTTGTCATGGTTCTCATAGTCATCTTCTTCTACCTCCTCATAGAAGGGTGGGTTGCCTGAAAGGCTACATAGAGCAGGGTCACCTAGGGAGGCCACAGAACAACCGCCCAGCCCACCTGGCTGCAAGTCCAGTTATGTGCCCTTTCACTCACAGGATGTACATGATGACACCAATGGCCCAACAGTCCACAGGGCGTCCATACCGCTGCCTTCCTACCACTTCTGGCGCTAAAGAAAGGAAAGTGTAGATCTGCTGGTTAGCCTCAGGCCAACCAGGTATTGTACCATCCATCCCCACTTTCAGGGCCAGAGACTTCTCCCTACCCCAAAGTCTCTCCCTGAAGGCTGTCCCTCCACCATCCCCTGTCCCATCCCTCCTTGCCCAGATACTCCGGGGTCCCACAGGGCTCCTTGATGAGGCCATTCTCTAGCTTAGCCAGGTGGAAGTCACTGATGACAATCTTTGAGTTCTTCAGCCTGTTGTAGTACACTAGGTTTTCCAGCTGTCCAGAAGAGAATGGTGGAGTGGGAGCAGAGGTTATCATGAGGGCCTCAGAAGCTGGACAAGAGCCCAGTGTGGCACTCACTCCATTCCCAGTTACCAAGCAATCCAGTCACTCTGGCTCTGGCCTTACCTTGAGGTTCCTATGCACAATCTTGAGTGAGTGCAAGTAGGCCACAGCCTCCAAGACCTGCCGCACCACGTTGCTCGTGTCTCGCTCCGAGTAGTAGCCCTGGTCCAGGATCCAGTCAAACACCTCCCTCCCCGTGGCCCTGAGGGACACCAGCCCCTGAGCCCGGCGTGGGCAGGATCGGGGGGTAGGGCAGGAGCATTTGGGAAGCCTGACTTGTACCAGGCATTTGGCTGGGCAGGACCCAGGGCTTTGGGACCACTAGGGTTCCAAAAGTGGGTTTCTTTAGTTATAAAGGGAGGAAAAAGAAAAG